CATAAAATATGCAAATTTAATTAGTTTTTCAAAGAAAACTCAATGGTAAAATGAAAAAAAAATGATAAATTATTATAAACCATTAATATATAACAAAATTACTTTTTAAATAGTTTTTGTCTTTGAATTAATTTATTTTTGGAAATAATTATATTTTTTGATTGTATATTTATAATAAAAATATACTTTGTTATATAGTTTCGATAATGAATAAAAAATGCCGCGGACACGAAAATAATAGAAAGGACACCATATACACATAAAGGACGCCCTTTATAGCGGGAGGACGTCCCTAAACCACAAAGGACGTCCTTCGGCCTATATTCCCGTCCTTCGTCCCCATGTCCATCCTTTCTCTTAAGAATCATAAATGTTTAAAAATCATTAGTTAAATTATGATTTATATAATTATATAATAAAAAAAAACTTTAAAATAGTTTAATTTATTATCTTAAAAATAGTTGTTTCAAAAGATGATTATATAGTTATAGAACTATAAAAATAAACCATTTTTACTCAAATTAAAAAATCAAATGGGAGGAGTTCCAACACGACCTGTCATTTCAAATGATGTTAATCGGATGTGTTCCGACCTGACAATTTTCTTTTCAAAATATCCATCAAAAAATCAAAATGTGAGATACATATTTTATCCGTTAGCAGACTCGGACATAGCGATTTCGTATACTTCAAATTTGCGAGATGGATGGGAAGCAAAACAAGACCAAAGTGGAAATCTCTATTATACATATTTGTCTCAAACCCCACAACAAAAATACTCTTCATCGCCACCAACAAATGAATTTATTGAGGTTTGTTTATATTTACACTCAAATTATCAATTTTTTTCGCTGTTTTTGTCTTCAAATGTTGTGTCTTTCCGCCACATTTCTCATTTCTTTAGTTTTGAGTGATTGGATTGAAAATATTGGAAAGAATCAACATTTAAGTGGCAAAAACTGACAAAAAGCTCGAACAAAAAAGGCTAAAAAATAAATGGGAGGTCACTTATAACGCAACAGAAGGAAGAGTCGAGTACAGAAATAGTAACAACGAAGTCAGGTACACTCCACCAAAAAAGAATAAAATATTTGAGACAATGAGGATTGACAGGACACGTCTTGTTCATATTTACCTCAAAATGACAGACTTACTGGAAAAAAGCAAGAGGACTGAAGAAACAGATTTGAAACAAAACGACATGAAAAATGCAGAAGTCAAAACGCAAAGTGGGGAAATTTGCCCAATTTGTTACGACCAGACGTGTGACATCGTTTTGGACTGTGGTCATTCGTTTTGTGATTCGTGCTTTGCTATCTGGTGCAAGAAGTTCTCGTACTGCCCGTCTTGCAAAAAGCCGATCGACGATTGGCTCTGTCAATGTAAAAACACGCCAATGGGAATACTTGAACAAGCACTGAAGATTGTCACCGAGACATTGTAAAAATATATATTCTTTGGTTTATTACCACAACCGAAAAACATGAATGTTTACTTATCAGATGGAGGGACTTCCAATCCACCCACCTCCTCTCTAACTGGACAGACTTTTGAAATTGATGGCGAGTCTTCTTTTCCAATTAGAAAATTTTGGATGTGCAAATATGGTGTTTTCCCACTCACACTTTCAACTCTGAAGTACTTCAAGCAGAGCTCTCCTTTTGCATTGAGGTCGACAAATCTCATCGTCGTGTCTTTGACAAGCACAACACTTTTGATTGCTTGTGTATTCAATGTCGCGTTCTTCATGTAAAAGCAGACTTTGTCGCCTTGTTGTGCTCTCTCTTTAAAACTCAACAAAACCCCTTCTCGTATTTTTGTTTTGTCTTCCTCATCAGTGTGTGCGCGGTCCACCTCGATCCACTGAGTCGATTTCACCTCACCGAAGACAACATTTTTTTCCTCGGCAATGAGTGTTTTGTCGGCCATCAGTCTCAAATCAAAGAACCCATTTAATTTGGGAATTTTGCAACAGACCATCCTTTCTCCATCAGGGACTTTCCAGGTCATATAAGGTATTGGTTCCATCTCGTCGTGAACGTACAACGAGACACTAAGGTTTTTATATCGATCGGGGCGAATGACAAGAACAGTCATTTCTTTTTTGTCATCGTTTTTGTTGATAATTCTTACGTGTTGTCTTGGCACTATTTCAATGTTCATTGAGTTGTTATATAATTCATTAAGCATTTTGATTTCAGAACGAATTTGAACATTATCGTCTGGTGAATATTGCATTGGAGCACGACTATTATATTTGTTACGAAGGTCTTTCTTCTCCTCCTCCAACGCTTTGTTTTTTAGAGCTGTTGCATTCCTATTTGGAAAAGTCATCAAATGATTTTATTTGTTGTGTTATTTTAATTCTTTATTTATAGTATTTCTCTTCAATAATATATAGTTTAATTTATTAAATATTTACCATCCTGCTATAATACGTATTTTTAATTAGAAATACTATGATTATTATCATTAATTAACAACCATATAAATAAGTTACACAAACTATTTACTAATAGTTATTTTTCACTGAATGATATTAATTCAAAATACCATCGAAAACTAATCACCAACTCTCCCCAATAAAAAAAAGAAAAAATAAAATAGATGGCAACAAATCGAGGCGAACAACCCAGTTTACACCAACTAGCAAAAAATCGTTCAGACGGTATTTCTATCCTTCGTTCTTCACGTCGAACTGAATTAATGAATAAATTCCGACCCATTGATTGTCCAATAGATTCTTCACTGACTCTATCCAAAGAGGAGCCGCACTCACACACCGAGCACTCATATCCCGACACAGTCGAAAAAGCAATACGTGGCGATACATCAGCACTTCTTGCGATTCAAACGTATTTTGACAGTACACTGTACTTCCACTACTATTTCATGCAACACAACTGTTGCTCGTCTTTCCTGAAACAACTTGCGACACAACCCGACAGTTATTGTGTCGCAGTGTTAAACGCATTTCTGTCGTACACATCCTCCTCCGAGAAAATCTTCTCCGACGACTTAGTCAAAAGTGGCTTCTTTCAGCGCACCGAATATCTTTTATCCCACGGCGAAGACATTTCGAGAAGAACACTCTTCGTCCTTGGAAATCTGCTTTCGGAGTCAAAGGAAGATGCTGATTGTTTTGTCGCATCAAATCTTTGCGATAAAACGTTCGACTTATTGCGACAGTACCCGTCACCGCAATTCTTGGCGGCCGTCGTTTTCTTGTTCAAGTCTCTTATTAGAGGAAACCCTGATTTTAATAGAAAAACCCTTGAACGAATTGTCGCGTTTTTCATCGGAGTTTTGGACGGGAAGTGCTTTTCAAATGACATAGAGAATGACGTGTTGTGGGGATTTTCGTTTTTGAGCGACAACGAGAATAACAAAATATTGTTTGACAGAAATGTTATTGAGAGGATGTATGTGTACTTTGAGAAAGGAAATAAATGCCCAGAAAGTGTGATGAGATTTTTTGGAAATTTGGTCAGGCAGACGGACGACGTTCCAACATTCATGATCACCCACAACTGTTTCAAGATTTTTGAGATCATGCTGGCAGAAAGACCGGGTGATATAAGGGCAAAAAATGCGTTTTGGACACTATCGAACTTGGTGCCTTCGTTGTCGAAAGAAAACGCATATGCATTACTCAAGACAACGAAGCTCTTCCAACTCTCTTGTACTATAGTTATAACGAAAGACTATTATAGTAATGTTCTTATAGACGTCTGGTATTTCATAGGAAATATAGTTTACTATGCTGATATGGATTACACCAAATATGTAGTTGCTTTGCAACCAAATATTTTGGTTGTCGTTTTGATGTTTTTAAAAGCTCCAATTGGTGAACAAACACTGACAAGCATCTATTTAAAGTGCCTTGCAAATTTACTCAAATTGTATCAAATCAATGCCCCAAACTTCGACGAGTGTGTTGAAGAGCTTGGAATTGCAGACTTACTCGATACTCTTTCCGTTTGTGAAATCTTCTCATTTTTGTGATTAACTATTAAATTATCCAATTAACTATTAATATATTAGGAAAAACCAGATATCTCCACAATGATTCTCAAGCGCATTGACACGTGTCGTACTCTTATCACTCATCAACTTAGTCCCAATCTCCACCCGATTCTATAATTCTACTATTCATTTTATTTATAGTAATTAATAACTCATTTGTTCAGATAACAAATTCTAAAATAAACCATAATAAAACCGATTTTGAAACAATACATGAACTTTGCACTCTCGAACGAAATGATACTATAATTAAATTATAAAAAACAATTATTCCAAACCCATAGCGATGTTAAAGAAGGTCTCGACCTGTTGGTTTGTTCTGAATTTTTCAGGGAGTTTTTTGATCAATTTATTTCTTTGTGTTTTTGTGATGAACTTTTTCGATTGAATAGTTGTGGTGATTTCGCAAATGAGAGTTTTCATGATTTCTGCCAAATGGATTGCCTCCTCACAGACTCCGTCTTTTTTATTTTTTTCCTTCTCGCTTTTTCTTGGCTTTTTCTCTTCACTTTGTTTCTCGCTGGAAATCCTCCGTTCGGTCTTGACGATCTGCGAAAGACGTTCATACGCCGAAGAAGTTTGCAGAGGAGTTGTTTTTTTGAAGTCCAACGGGGGCATATTTACTTGAGGTCTATAGATAGCTCTAGGGGTGAAGTCGAGTTGTGGATATTTCTTCACGAGGGTCATAGTACCCTGGAAAGTTCTACAATGACGTACAGCGCATGCGATAGAAGCCAAACTTCGTTCGTCGAAATCACCTGAGAGGATATTAGTGTGAGGAACGGTGACGACTTTGGTCTCATTATTTTTCCATGTTGATTTTGCCAAGCGGACTAAGTATCGATTTTTCTGTGGAAACACTAATAACACTTTAGCTTTATAAATAGAACAATTATAGTAAACGGTGACCTCAGTGTTATTTTGAAACAATTGGTCCTTTCCTTTATTTGTCGTCTCAAACGTTTGTAGTTTGGTGCGTAAGACTTGCGTCTGCTTATTCAAAAAGTCCAACGACAGGGTTTGTGGCATATTCAAAGCACTCCTTTGATATGAAAGAATTAGTGATTTCTCACATTGAGTCAGTCCATATTGTGATGTAGGAAATTGAGAGACAGATCGCTCTTTACATAGACTTAACACTGCATCTGATGTAAAAAATTCTGAGATAAAATTCGTTTCTTTCACGTCTTGCCCTATCGACTGATCTAAAAAAAAGGAGTTCAGTTGACTGTTCAAGCTGTTTGACATGTGCCGGTTGAATTTCAAGTTCTTTTCTTATAAACTTAGGGTTTCCCATTTATAGATACATTTCAAAGGAAAATAAAAACCGACTTTGGATTACACCGATCGCACCACCTTCCCAGTAATTTCTTGAATTGTTTCTTTGATTGTCGTGAGGTGTTCCTTGTCCCAATTTTCTAATACAAATTTGTCTGTTCTTCCGAAGAAGAATCCGCTTTTGAAAGGGTTATTAATATAGACACAAATATGAGTTCCTTCGAGTCCGAAGTCGTAAATCTTCTCATACAAAATTCTCCACAAGAAATTTGGAGGGTCGAGCGGACTTTTCTTGTCCACTCCGATCATCTCTATCTGAGTAAATAGAATTGCATATAACCTATTTCCATCAACCTTTTTTAACCACGTCTTGTACCCATCTTCTTTGAAATACCCTCCTTCTACTTCATTTAATAAACTCCACCCAAACGAATTATACAAATTGAATTGAATGACTTGCCCAGGACAATATCGTGGCGGTCGCATTCGTTGCGTCGCTATTTGTCCAAAACTGAGCCCATTCAATCCATCACTCACACTCTTAAAGAAGCCAACTATCCCATCTATAGGCTTCACTACTATCCCAGCTGCTCCTACTACTATCCCCCCCATAAACCCAGCGGGAGCTAACGTTTTCCTCTTCGCTCCTACAATATCAGTCAACCCTACAGATGTGTTCCATAACCCTTTCACACTCCGAACGACAGAGGTCCCCAAATTCTTCGCACCATCTAAAACAGAATACTCAAAGGTACTTCGCTGGGCTTCAACTAACTCACTCGGAATGATCTTCTCCTTCACTGTCTCAGATGGATCTGAAAAAGAACTCATATTGTTTTCTCGAGAGAAAAAACAGGCGATTTCATGACGGACGTCGGAAGGTAATTCATTCATGGCACTCAGGTGGAACTCGTCTGTGCTTTCTATGTTGTCATAATTTGTGCCAACAGCACGGAACCCCAGAAGTCGCGTCACAAAAGTCCATTTCATGTCCTCCAAATCACAAAAGAGTTTCTCTGCTACTCGTGCGAGTAAAGTGCTCTTTGATAAATAGACTGATTTGTGCACAGTCTTTGCGATGTATATTGGTATTCGGTCGACGTCCATCCGTGCGATGCTTGAGACTATTTGAAGGATATTTGAATGATCTGAAAATGTTGAATTTCCTCGATGAATTGTCATATTAATATCTATAGAGTTTATTACGGCATTTTCAATCACAACTCTCGTATCTTTATATGTCCTCTTATTCTCACCTTCAAAGATAATTAAAGGGGAATACTCATTATACGTTTGGACAAGATCATTGAGGACATCCATTTCTATAAGAACTTCAAGTGGTCGGAGTGTGAATGTCAGATGGGAGACGTAGAGGACTTTCGATATCGCAGATAAGTTTGGGATAGTCAAAAGAATGCCGAAATGGAAGAACGTTTGATGCGTGTCATAAATCCACTCAAGTGGTCGGGGTGAAATGATGACGGGAGATTGCGTTATGTCGAAACGTTGGAAGTCAAGTTGGATATAATCAAATTGAAATTCAAAGCCAACGTGTTTGTCTAATTTGACAACTTCAGATTTGATACCTGTGATCGTTAAAGATAACTCTTCCACAGCAGCCTTTCGGAAAAGTGAGATATTCAGTGTTGGTAATAACACTGAGAGAGTTAACTGAATCTCCTCTGCACTTTTCTCTTCAGCACCTATAACGATATGGGTGGAGTCTTCCCCTGCCTCTACATAGACATATACTATACTATTATTAATAGTTGTTTTATAGTAACTTTCTAATTTAAGAGGATCAACAAGAACACCACATATCTCCAATTCTCGTCGTTCCGTTGGGTCTGCCCATCCAAAGGGGATGTTAGTTTGTCCTCTTGACTTGAAAATAGTTTTACTACCGACCTGTTTAAAGTCGACTTCGAACGTTGTTAAATTTTCGATACGAAGAAACGCCTTTTCACACCCATAAAAAGTGGTAATGAATGTACCACTCTCCTCTATTGTCTTAATAGAGAAAATTTGGTTGCCACAGTAAGTGTATAAAATGATCTGGAATTCGTCTACTTTATCAAAGAGGATTTTCGTCTGTTTTGGCACGGATTTTTCATAGAAATTGTGAAGGGCGATATAAGCAGCTTTGAAGTGAAGACATTTTTGACTCTTTTCTTTAACTATTACATTACCATTCAATACTATAACTTCATTAGTTTCGTTTTTCAAAAGAAATCTCGGTTTAATTTCTAAACACTTCGCATTTGTCATTTCTTCGTTTTTCTCTTCACTTTTTTTCTCAAAATTTTGCTCGTAAAACGCAGACACTTTCAGGAAAATTTCTTCACCATCAATTGTGACATTCTGTGATTCTTTCAGTGAAAAAACATTCCTCTCATTACTTTGGCCCACTTTCTCTAACCCGATTACCCGATCCAAAAACGTGATTTTTTCATCAAATAGTTTTGGGTCTGGTGCAAATACACGCCACGTGTCATCTTTATCCACTCGTCCCTCATATTTCACCACTTTTGGAGTCTCCGAACTATTTTTCAAGTAAAATGGACTCTCCAAAATTATTTTGTTATTCTCATGACTTTGCCGAAAAAAATGTTTTCCAATGAGAAGGGGAGGAAGTTGTGTCATAGAAGACGAAAAGTGCAAAATCTCAGACTTCTTTTCTGACTCAAAAAAAGAAAAATTTGGGTCGCATGAAAGTACCTCAATGAAGTAGCAAATCTCGTCGTCGGGAGGCGAAATTGTTAAACTGCCACGACTAAAGGCGTGAATAGTAAGTACTTCTGACTCACTATATCTCGGGTCAAATGATGTCTTTGTGAGAAATGAGGTATCAGAAAAACGATATGAATCTGAGTTCTTGACCAGTATTGATTGATTCTGTGATATAGGCCGTGTCGGCAAAGGTTTATTTGGTGCTTTGAAAGTAGCGATTTTTCTTGGGACTGTTCTATTTCGTTTATTTTTGTCCTCGATACCAACATTACTCTTTTTTGGATGTAAATTTGCCCCATTGACAGGTTTCTTGATATCTTTAGTGCTCTTTCGGTTTTCCCTCTCATTCATCACTCTCTTTTCAATCTCGTTCTGATATTTAAAGCACGTGATTTTGATCTCCAAAGGTGTTCTATTAATGACCGTGAATGGTGGTTTAAATTGGACAACCAACGGCGTGATATATTCATTCCCGCACTTCAAGCCTTCCTGTCCTTTAAATTCTATCATGAAGAAGTTGTTTAATTGAAGGGGTTGTGTCACCGTATATCCGCATTGCTTCTCACTTGAAAGCAAAGTAAAGTCTTGTGAATATTTCGCCTTCTTGTTCTTATTCTCCACAACAAACTCAAACCGTGCCATCCCCATTTTCACGTCAAACCCCGATCTCTTGTTCTTTTCCAAATTCAGAAATTGAGTGCCCCACCAGACTCTTAGACTCGCATGTGTCGTATTCACAAATATGACTGGGGCACATATCTTGACTCTTTGGTATTTATTAAACGCTTTCATCTTCACTATGACGCACCCAACACTTCTGTTGTCGTGCGTCACAATAAATGCTTTTTTCAGTGTCCGCCCTTCTGAAATGTTTTCTATAGAAATGACATCGTAGTTTCCGATTTGCAATTGGACGCATCGTTCGTGGATCATCGAAATCTCCTTCGCTTCCCCATTGAGTACTACGACCTCCTGTTCTTTATAAAAGAGTCTGACTCGATCTCCAGACGAATTGTGGATGGTGCACTTCCCTTTGTTGTTATAAAATTCCGAATTCAGTGATTGCGACCAACTCTTTACAATATCGTTAGCAACACTAACAACTTCCGGTGTAATGTTAATAACAAGGAAATTGTCTGGAGAGATGTCGAGGGCACAATAAGGGAATTCTCCATTAAAAAATACATTAAAAGGTTCTATCAAAGGTTCTTTAATCCACACTTGATGTGTTGTGTTGACATATTCTAAACTACTTTGAAGGATTTTACAAGTCATTGTAGTGTTTTCTATTTCCCCTTCGATACTTTGACTTGTTAAGAAGAAACATGGCGTCGTTTCTATTGATTTCCCCTTCGATGACACTTCCTCGGAGAACAGTGTTAATCGCATGTCTCGCATACTTAAAGCCACTTTCATGTCTGGAAGAGTCCATTTGGAATGTGTTGAAGGGGTCTTGCGAATTGGTTGCTCTTGGATCTCAAGACCTTTCTGAACGGATTTGGGTACTTCAACTTTCTTTAACACCGCCTGAGACGTATTTGTATGAAAGACTTGAAACTTTTGAATACACGCGTGTAACTCAGTAAACAGTTTTAAAGTGTTCTCGATATCGCGATTAGAAACTCGCCCTTGAGCGTCTGAAAGTGCAAAATTGGCGGCAAGTGCACTTCTCTTGAAATTGAGGGAGACACTCATCAACTTGATTAACGCGATATCCATCATCTGATCTCTTCCATTCATCTCAGAAGTCAGTAAAGTGTCTTTCACTAAAACAGCCAATGAATCGACCTTCTGATTTTGCACGTTGAGAATCCCTTCGAAATTTGCAGAGAGACGAAGTTTGTTCCCACTGTAATTCTTGAAGACCAAACTTGAATTTTCGCAGCGGAAATTGTAATTTTTGGCATCGAGTGGAGCGTCAACGGGTGTCGCGAATTCTGCACTTTTTTCAAGGGAAAGAGAAGTCGTATGGGTTGTCGCATCGCGTTGTATCGCAAACAGACGAGTAAGTGTGGGTTCAAAGGACGAAATGACTGAATTGAGAAATTCAGGGACTAATTGTAACGTCAATGAATTACAGAAGATCTCACACGTTGAATTTTTCTTATGGGAATACGTCACATCTAAACACTTTGTATTGTCGCCTGATGTCACACATTCGGAACAATTATTGAGATCTGTGAGTTTCAATGAATCCACTGAGAGTCGAGTTGTTTGTGAAACGTTTGAATATTCATATGAAAATGTCATTAAAGTAATGCGCGCAGAATTTAACGTGAGACTAATACCTTTTGTTTTTATCTTAACGCGAATACGTTGTGTCATTTTTTTATTGTCTTGGTTTCCTTTTGACTTGACTTCAGTAAATTTCTTCATAATTCGATTCAATTTGTTTCTGCTCCAAAACTTATTTTTTTGATTAGTTTCGTAATCGTAGTTATTTATTAGTACTTTATAATTAATTTATAAAAAAGTGTTAATAATTATTTAATATGTCAAAATAAAACAAATTAAAAACTGTTTGAATTATTAAATTATTATTATAAATTTATTATAATTATATTACAAATTGTTATCAAATTATATTCATAATAACATAAATTATATTTATAAAGAAATACACCAACAATACAATTATAAATATAATTACAAATAAATTATAATATTGATAATATTTGTGGTTTCCATTTTTACAATAGTTTTTAATAATAATTTTATATTGTATTATCTTTGATTATCGTTTATCATATAAAAAGTTAAATAAATAATATTTTAATAGTTAGTGCAATACCAAATCAATAACAAGATGTCAATCCAAATATGAACGAGTTTGAACTAGTAAATAAATCGTTAATGAGATTTGTCCATGTGGCGAACTAAATATAAAGAAAATGATCATTTTAAATATCAGGAAATGGGAGAAGAAGGAGAAGTACAAGCACTTGTCGTAGACAATGGATCTGGTATGTGCAAGGCCGGTTTTGCTGGTGATGACGCCCCAAGAGCTGTCTTCCCATCAATTGTTGGCAGACCAAAACAAGTCTCAGTCATGGCTGGTATGGGCAACAAGGACACCTATGTTGGAGATGAAGCCCAATCAAAGAGAGGTATTTTGACTTTGAAATACCCAATTGAGCACGGTATTGTCAACAACTGGGACGATATGGAGAAGATCTGGCACCACACTTTCTACAACGAGCTCAGAATTGCACCAGAAGAGCACCCAGTCCTTTTGACTGAAGCCCCAATGAACCCAAAGGCTAACAGAGAAAAGATGACACAAATCATGTTCGAGACTTTCAACGTCCCAGCCATGTACGTTGGAATTCAAGCTGTCCTTTCATTGTATGCCTCTGGTAGAACCACTGGTATTGTCATGGATTCTGGTGATGGTGTTTCTCACTGTGTCCCAATCTATGAAGGTTTCTCACTCCCACACGCCATCCTCAGAATTGATCTTGCTGGTCGTGATCTCACTGACTACCTCATGAAGATCTTGACTGAAAGAGGTTATGCTTTCACCACAACTGCTGAAAGAGAGATTGTCAGAGACATCAAAGAGAAGCTCTGCTATGTTGCTCTTGACTTCAACGAAGAGATGCAAAAGGCTGCCTCATCATCAGAACTCGAGAAATCATACGAACTTCCAGATGGTCAAGTCATCACCATCGGAAACGAGAGATTCAGATGCCCAGAAGCACTCTTCCAGCCATCATTCCTTGGTATGGAAGCATCAGGTATCCACGAGACCACTTACAACTCAATCATGAAGTGTGATGTCGATATCAGAAAGGACTTGTACGGAAACATCGTCTTGTCTGGTGGAACCTCTATGTACCCAGGCATCAACGACAGACTTGAGAAGGAGATGGTTGCCCTTGCGCCACCAACAATGAAGATCAAGGTCATTGCACCACCAGAGAGAAAGTACTCTGTCTGGATTGGAGGCTCAATTCTTGCCTCATTGTCCACTTTCCAAAACATGTGGATCACCAAGGAAGAGTACGACGAGTCTGGACCAGCCATCGTCCACAGAAAGTGCTTCTAAACAATTTCAATTTTGGCTTTTTTATGTATTTTTTAATATACAATTTATTATGTAAAAAGTAATACTTAAAAGTTATTATCTTATACATTAGTTTTATTTATTAATATATTAATAAAAAAACGTTTTTAATTTTTAATATCTTAAATTAATTATAAATTAAAAAAAAGTTAAAAACATTATTTTTAAAACAAAATATATAAAAGTTATCTGTTATGTTTTTGTTATAAAAATGAAATATCATTATTATCAAGTCATTCTTTTAACCGTGCAACTTTGACGTGTCAGTGTAACTTTGTTTATAGTATAATTATAATAAGAAAATATATGTTTTTTTAAATAAAACAAGAAAACACAAACAAATTTCTGTAAAACCAGAGGTTTCCATAATCACAATGCAATTACCCACGTCACCATTTTATAACCAAAATGTTCATTTTCTCTTATAAATTCGTACGTTATAATACCACATTTTCGGCAATAATTATTTTGGAAACCTCTGTGTAAAACTATTACTCTAATTAAAATATTATAACTAAACTATAATTAAAGTTGCACAATTTTTCTCAATTAGTTTTTTGAATTGCACTATTCAACAGTCTTTTGTTTACCGAAATTTTGAGGCGAGAAAATCTTTGAATCACGTGAGGTAATTTGTCTCATTATTTTCGTTTTATTCAAGTGATGTTTAACATTTGCGCCACCCACGTTCAATTAACAAAACTGGCTTTATTCGTTCTGTATGACAATTGGAAATTCTGGATTTTAATGTTTTTCATTAGAACAAGCAGTTGAACTTATCATTTAAATATCGAGTTATCTTTTATGTTGATTTATAACCTAATTCAACTTTTTGTTATTGTTTTTGTTATTGTTGAAAAATAGAGTTTCACCTTTGTTGTGAGTAAAAAACAAAGAAAAAATAAAGTTGCACATTTGTTCGGAATGACTTTAATCATAAAATTAGAATATAAAAAACTGTTTAAAATTAAATAATATTAATTATGTTTTTTAATTTATTTACAAACAAAAATGCATTTGCCGGGACTCGAACCCGGATCTCCACCTTGGAAGGGTGGAATTCTGCCCTTAGACCACAAATGCTCAACAAATATCCATCCTTTAATTATAAAATTTTATTTATTATTTTAAATAAAATAATAATATTAATAACAAACAAAGTTAATAATCAAGTTAATTATTTGCTGAAATTATTCAAATTTTATGGTTTGATCAATGCCAAATTCCATCACTTTGTTTTAAATTGTAATAATTTTATTCATTTTTTAATACTTGTTTTTTGTTAGTAATCAGAATGCTTTTGCACTTTTATTTGTTGCTAACAACACACACTATAAAGTATGCTGTGATGACAATGGAAATATTTATATACTTACATATTGTTTTGATAATGTTGTAAAATATATTTTAATGTTTCTATTAATTCGAGTTAAAAATAATTTAAATTATATAAATTAAAAAATAAAAGAGTTTTTTAATTATAAAATGAAATTATTCGTGTTATTAATTTCATTTAAAAACTATCTTTTAGTAACATTTATTATTTAACTCGCCAACAACCCAACACTTCTGTTTTTTACAGTTTTTAAAAAATATGTCCCAAAACTATTTAAATAATTTGGATTAAATATTAGGTGAATATCCCCGAAAAACACATTAAACCAGTAATAACAAACAGAAATATTCATAATAAAATAATCAAGAATAAATTTAAAATAAATACCAAAAAACATGTTTTGTAAATAAAAAAACAAAAAAGCAAAATACAATAAAAAATACCACAAAAAAATCAACTAAAAATCAACAAAAAAGTCAACAAAAAAAAATAAAACTAAATAAATAATACTAAAAAAATAATACTTATTATGATTACTTTACTTACTTGTCATCAACTATTTTACTTCATTCCGATTTGCAATTATTTTTTCTCCATTCCCCTATTTCTTTTAACAAATCCAAGTTTGTTATATTAGAACAGTTGTCACAAACGCATTGATAATGAAAAGAACACACATGTTTATCACACTTGCAACATCTTCTCTTAAAGTTGCTTGCCGATACTCCATGTTCTTTTAAATCCAGACAAATTCTGCATTCAGATCTTCCTTTTTTGTTTCTTTTTTCTTTATTTTTTCAACGATCGCGCTTTGTTCTGTCATTGAAAATAATTCTTTATCAATATCAAGATACTCAACTATAGCTTGTCTAGTTGAATAACAATTTGTCTTTCGCAATCTATTGATGGCGTTATCTTTTCCGAGAAGTTTGGAAAGTGTTATGACAAAATTCCACTTTGGATACTTCTTTTTCATTTTGTCAATATTACTTACACCATTGTCTCCACATTTGTTAAGTACAAACAGAATGTAACTATTATGGAGAGCCAAATCAATAATGTGATAGAAAAAAGCCAAAGGCCAACGTCTTGAGGGACGCTTACAACAATGACTCTTCATACTTTGGTCTGCTTGGTCTACTCCACACATGTATTTGTTGTACCTAAGGATCGATTGGAACTTTCCCGTTTCAGAGTGGTCGGTACTTTTTTTAACTACAGATTCTTGGTGAGATGTAACTGACGTTAAAAGAATAACATTCCTATTCTTTTCTGCAAAGGAAACCAACCGAATGGTTCGTGTACTTCCTTTTATATATCATCTTCTCAAGTACCTTTTGTTTGATTAGAGAAGGTGTACAAAATTTTCGAGACTTTGTAATGTCTAATTTTGATTCACTTGGCACAAATTTCCTGTTTATGTTGACTGTTCCATTTAAATAAATGTCATATTCAAGAAGTTTGGTGCACAACTTTTCACTTGTAAAAAACCTATCAACATTTAGCGTTGATTCAATTGGATGTTTAACTTGTAATTTTTTAAGTAATTCAATCACGACAAGTCCTCCGATATCACGTACAGGTTCTCCATTGTTTGATCCTCTATAAAAAAACGAATTTAAAACAAGGTTGGTTGTAGAGTCTGCTAACAAAAAAATTTCATACCATATTTACCCGGCTTCGATGGCATGAAAGTTTTGTTACAATAATTACCATAATAATTGTATAATTTTTCATCAATTGATAATTCAGAACTCAACGGTAAAGTTCTGGATAAATACTGACCAAATTTTCATTGAATGCATCATATATTATTTTAATATATGAAAAGTTATCCGAGTCGTTTTTATCTTCTGGATAAATAGAGTTTGCAGGATTTGATATTTCATATTTATTTGTATCACTGTCTTGTGTTATAGTGTCTACCACATTGGTGTTATTTATATGTTGAATTCTGATAATTGGATCTAATGAACTCGTGTTTCTTATGGGGACTGTTGAAGTTGAACCGACTACTTGTTGAAAAGGCAAAGGATACACAAGTGGTCTTATTGGTTGTAATCGAAGTTGTGTGGTTAAGTTAGTAATATGTCTTGTTGGTGTCTGTTGTTGTGAAACGATTGAGA